GGAAATAAAGCCCTTTGAAAGCCTGGAGCTGGTCATTGGATTTTGGGGGCCTGTATGTAGCTAGGCTGCCAAAAAGTCTCACACATGTGGTATCCATATACTCGGTAGAAGTAGAAGAATGTATTTTGGGGTGTTGTTCCACATATACCCATGGCTTGTGTGAGCAATATATCAGCTAAGTGTCACTTTGTGTAACAAAAAAAAAAAAAATTGGCATATTCAAAAAAAAAAAAATAAAATGTTCAATGGACTCAACATGCCTCTCTACAAAATCCTTGGGGTGTCTACTTTCCAAAAAGGGGGTCATTTGGGCGGGGGGGGGGGTTGTACTGCCCTGGCATTTTAGCACCCCAAGAAATGTGATAGGCAGTCAGAAAGTAAAAGCTCCGTATATTCCAATATATATACCATAGTTAGTAGACACTATAACTTTCACACAAACCAATTAATATGCAGGAATTGAGATTTTTGTTAGACATGTAACAGAATACATTTTAGCCTAAATTTATGACTAACTTTGAGTTTATTGGATATATTTTATAACCAAAAGTGAAAAAACGTTAGGGTCTTTTTTTGTTTATAGCGCAAAAAAATAAAAACCGCAGAGGTGATCAAATACCACCAAAAGAAAGCGCTATTTGTGTGAAAAAAGGACATAAATTTCATTTGGGTATAGCACTGCACGACCGTGCAGTGCGAACAGCAAAAAATGGCCTGGTCAGGAAGGGGGGTAAATCTTCAGGAGGGCAAGTTGTTGCCCTCCTGAAGATTTCTTCAGGGGTTATAGGGCCCTACTCTTTCGAGCTTACAATCTCCTAGATTGTAAGCTCGAAAAAGTAGGGCCGTATAACCCCTCGTGTGCTGTTTGTAGTTGCTGTAATGTTTCATGTATTGTCCACCCCTCTATTGTACAGCGCTGAGCAAACCCTTTGGCGCTATATAAACTAGATGTAATAATAATAATAATAATACTCGTGTGCTGCATAATTGCAGAGCTGTGTTGTTCTGGGGGTGCACTCAGTTGGATCCTAGTCCAAACAGAGAGCATTTAGAAGGTGGTGAGGATGCATTATGTTGCTTCCTCACTGCCTGCTTTAACCCCTTGATCCCTGCACAAATATGCCACAACCTCTGCCAATCCTTCCACTTGTTTCCGATTTCCCAACGGATAAAATTCAAAATGCTAATATTGACGTACAAAGCTGTTCATAACACTGACCCAAACTACATCACCGACCTGATATCCAAATACCACCCAAAATGCACTCTCCGCTCCTCACAAGACCTACTACTCTCTAGTTCCCTGGTCTCCTCCTCCCATGCCCGCCTCCAGGGCTTCCCCCCATCCTCTGGAACTCACTACCCCAATCCATCAGACTGTCACCTACCCTCCTCACCTTTAGGCACACCCTGAAAACCCATCTCTTCAGAGAAGCCTACCCCACCCTACCCCACCCTCACCTAACTGCTGATCTCCTCCACTCTTCCTACCACTCCATCCCCCACAGCTATTTCCTCCTGTACCACTCTCCCCTCCCTCCTAGATTGTAAGCTCCAAGGAGCAGGGCCCTCGAACCCCTCGTGTATTTTATTGTATTGTTACTGTACTGTCTCATGTATTGTCTCCCACTATAATGTACAGCGCTGAGCAAACTGTTGGCGCTATATAAATACTGAATAATAATAATAACAACAATGTGCATTTCACGCGGTTGCAGGGAGCTTCCATTCACTAAAACTGGTCATGTTTGGCGGATGTTATACCTTCAAAAGCAGGTAAAATTATTGCTGCAGCTTAAAGCAAAGCATTGAGGTTGCAGCATGTGTACACCCCTGACCACTGCCTCTGCTGCAGCTAAAGGGGGTAGCGGTTGGGGGGGTGGCAAACCTGTGGGCTTTTACTGCGTCCCTTAGAGCTTGTTCACACAGACAGCAAGTGGATGGTAAAAGTAGACAGTTGAGCCATGACTTTACTGCCGTCTGGTCACCCTCCTAAACTTTGGCATGCAGCCACTCAAACTATACACATGCCACAGCACAAATGATACAGTATGTAGCTATTGGCACGTATGGTAGTACCACCACCAAACGCATCCCATTTAAGTGAAAGGGGTTGTACCGTAACCACCATGCAACCATGTGCAATGCGCTGGGTCACCATTTTGAAGGATAAAACAGGCAGGGAGGTGATATATCACCTCCTCTCCACCTGTCAAATGCCTTTCGAAAAATGATCCACCTTGGATTGCTTCTTGGGGGGTAGCATTTCAGCCACATATGTGGATGAGCTTGGGCCTTCCGCAAATGTATTTCTGGCCAATCTGGGCCCTTTTTTTTTTTTAAAACTCCAATAAGCTGCAGGCCGGGTCATTCCTGTTTGGCAGCTCATGCAGACAGAAGGCTGTGGAGAGAGGAGTTGGAATGACCTGGCCTGCGGTACATCGGTGTACAAAAAAAAAATGAGTATAGGTAAGGTCCCTTTCATACAAGCGGTTCTGTCAGGTTCACCTTTCCATTTTCAAACAGACCTGATCAGAACCTCCATTCTCCTCTACGAGTAGTCGGATGTAAATGGGCTTGTGTCCATTTACACCCAGCTACCTCCGATCCGATATGGCACAAACAAACAGAAGGGAGATCTGTTCCCTTCCGTCTGCCCGGATCGGATGGCAGTAGGGTGTAAATGAACAACCAGTCTGTTTACCTCTGACTGCCCATAGACCAAAGCATGCTGTATCTGTTCTGCAGAAGCGGAGCGGACATGGTACTGTCATCCGGAAGCTCTGCTCAGCTCAGCAGGGGATCAGAGGACAGATACCAGGCTGAGCAAAACGAGATGAGGCCTGTGTGAAAAGGGCCTTAGAGATGAGCAGGAAGAACCCCTGAGCTCATCTGTCCTGGTAATGAAAGGCTAATACAGGCTGGTACATAAGTGGTTAAAAGTGACTCCATCTTTTATGTCACATATATATTTTAAGGCTTCTTCATGTGAGCACTCACTAGTCTTTGAAGAGCAATCGGCGTTTGGTGCATTTTTTGAGTCACTTTTTCCACTGGTGCAAAACACACCAGAAACACAGGAAAACACATGCTTTTTTTTTTTTTTTTTTTTTACACAACAGAGCAGTGTGGAAGTAGGCTTAAAGCTGGTTCACACCAAATGCAGTCCAGTGCTTTTTTCTGCAGGCATGTTAACTGTGGGCAGCCGGCCATGACTCCTTGCAGCTTCACAGCTGCCTCCCCACTGAGCATGTGCGAGTCACGCTGCGCTTTGTGAATGGTCCCACAGCCTTCTGGGACCTGTGGTGTGTCCTATAAGGCTGCGGGGGGGGGGGGAGGGAGAGAACCTTCAGTGGATTGCCATGGTGATCTGACCGAAAGTGGGAGTGGAAACCTGATGAAACCAGGTAAGCGCCCCCCAAAAAAAATCTGGGGGGGGGTTCTCCTTTAAGGCTCCACTCCTATCTGTGGGTTCTGTGAACATGCAAAGAACGCATGAAATATTCCATTTACAATGAGGCTCCATTCACACTAGGGTGTTTCAAATCGCGGGTGCAATGACCGCGATTTGAAAACGCATTGTGAAAGTGTGAAAACGTGCAATCGCATGTTCAGGTGCCATTCATTTCAATGGCACCTGAAAACGCAGGGTGTTTTTGCAGCGATCCCACAAACAAAATAAAATTTTTTGGGGCGTTACACATCCCGTGATTTTGTTTGTACAAGCGCGGCGCGTTTGCCCTGTGTAAAAAACGCACCACCCTACGTTTTCAGGTGACACTGAAATGAATTGCACCTGAACACGAGATTGCACGGTTTCAGACTTCCATAGCGGGTTTTCGAATTGCGTTGATTCCACCCGAGATTTGAAATGCCCTAGTGTAAATGGAGCCTGAAAGATGTCATTCATTTGTCTGCCACGCTGGCACCTGAGTGTTGTGGGAAGGAGTGAAGGAACGCGCAGTGTGCTTGTCATCTCATTCCTCCCGATTGGCCCCCCAGACTCCGGCCTTCAGGCTCCATTCACATCTGAGCGCAACGCTTTTGTCGCGATTAGTTCAGGTGTTTTCAGGCTTGAGTTCTGGCGTTTTTGTGCATTTTTTCACGTTTTGTTGTGCGACGTTTTATGCGCTAATTGTTCAGGCTTCAGTTCTGACAATTTTGACAGGGAACATTTACACTGAATCAGCGCAGACCCCCAACAGTGCCGTCTCATCAGTGCCCATCTATGAACATCAGTGAAGGAGAAAAATTACTTTTTTTGCAAAAATGTTATAAAAGAAACTAAGAAAAATGCTTTTTAATAGAGAAAATTTTCATCTGTGACATCAATTGTTGCCATGCCAGATAAGCTGCTATTGGTCGCACAAAACACACAAAAGTGCATAAAATTTAGTGATTTGCGCGTTTCTATATATTTCTATGAGAATAAAAACGCATAAATCTGCCTTAATGGAGCTACAAAAAGTAGTTCCAAAACTTTTTTGTGCTTTAGGTGTTCTGCTTCAGGCGACTTGGAGTGGAGCCGTGAACCATCTCCATAGAGTAATATTGATTTTTTTCTCTCCGCAGCGTTCTGGACATTGGCGCTACAAAAGCTCAGGTGTGATTGGAGCTTCATACAGGAGCCATTCACACCTGGTGTAGCGGGAACGCACGCTTTTTGCACAATGCACATTGAGCAACCAATTCATTTGAATGGCCGGCCTACGCATGACAAGAGCGCAGAAGAGGCCCCAGTACCTTTTCCAGGTGCAGAGCTCGGGGCGTTTTTACTGGGTGATGACAGAGAGGGCGGCGGGGTCCTGTGCTATATCCCGGGGTCACCATCATCACATGTCATATGAAGGCTGACGGATGATTCAGCAGGTAGGCAATAGTGTGCCCCCCTGGGGAGAAGTGATGTCTGGGGTCACCATGACCTCCTATACAGAATACACATGACTCCATAGAGAATGAGGTCTTCCCCTCCCCCACCCCCGGTCCAGGCCCAGGCTTACCGTCACTCCGTACTTCAGAGCGATCCCCTGCAGAGTATCGCTGGGGCTGACGGTGTGCTCGATGAAGCGCTCAGCCCAGGGGGTGGTCACACTGGCCGTGCTACCGTATGAGCGGGTCTTAGTGCGGGCCAGGCTCAGGGACAGCTCGGCCTCAGACTCCCCCTCCGAGCCGGGGAATACCGTGTACCCGAGACGGCTCCCTCCACCCCTGTGCGAGGGCAGCACCGGAGACAGTTCCGCCATCTTCTGCGGGGGGAGACGCTCCGGTAACGGTACAGTGGACACTCTACACCACCACCACTGACATGACTGAGGGCTGCCGCTAGGGGCGCTACACGGGCCGGGACAGCTGGGGCGGGGCCTGGTGTCCATAGAGATGGATACATCCTCTGCTGTGATACTGTATGCATGCCGGGCATGCGCAATGATTTAGGTGCATTTTACATTTGACTGAGGGTGTCGGGTGGCAGGGATGTGAAGGTTGCACTGCCGGAGCTACGGCCTACTGCTGGGGATACCAGGATGTATACAGAATCCCTGTCTGCCGTCTCTGACCGCGTCTTTTACCCTCGTGTTCTCCGTCTCTGACCGCGTGCTTGTACCCTCGTGTCCGCCGTCCCTGGCTTTCTGCTTGTAGCCTTGTGTTCTCCGTCTATGACCATGTGTTTGTACCCTCGTGTCTGACCGCATGCTTGTAATCTCGTGTTCTGCGTCTCTGACCGCATGCTTGTACCCTGGCGTTCTCTGTGTATGACCGCGTGTTTGTACTCTGTGTTCTCCGTCTATGATCATGTGTTTGTACCCTCGCGTCTGACCGCGTGCTTGTACCCTCGTGTTCACCGCCTCTGACTGCGTGCTTATGCCCTCGTGTCCGCCGCATCTGGCTGCTTGCTTGTACCCTCGTGTCCGCCGTCATCTGACTGCTTGCTTGTGCCCTCGTGTTCGCCGCCTCTGACCATCTGCTTGCGCCCTCGTGTCCGCTGTCTCTGGCTGTCTGCTTGTACCCTCGTGTTCTCCGTCTATGACCCGCGTGCTTGTACCCTCGTGTTCGCCACGTCTGACCGCGTGCTTGTACCCTTGTGTTCGCCGTCTGCTTGTACCCTCAAGTTCTCTGTCTATGACCATGTGCTTGTACCTCTCGTGTTCGCGCCGCGCCTGACTGCGTGCTTGTACCCTTGTGTTCTCTGTCTATGACCACGTGCTCGCCGCATTTGACCGCGTGCTTGTGCCCCCGTGTCCGCCGTGTCTTGACTATGTGCTTGTAACCATCCGCCACTTCTGACCACTGCTGTGCCCTCGTTGCCATCTCTCACTTGTGTTTGTACCCTGTGGCCACGTCTCTGACCACATTGTGCCCGCGTGTTCATTGTGCCCCTGCTGTTTCGCTCGTGTCTGACTACGTGTGCTGTACCCTTGTTCGCGCCACTTCTGACCACGTGCTGTGCCCCTCGTGGCTGCCATCTCTCACGTGGGTGTTTGTACCGCGTGCTTGCGTCCCTTCTCTGACCACGTGCTGTGCCCTCGTGTTCATTGTCTGCTGTTTCACTCGTGTCTGACCGTGTGTTTGTACCCTCGTGTTCGCTGCCCCGACCGCATGCTGTACCCTCGTGTCTGACCGCGTGCTGTACCCTCGTGTCCGCAGCCGCTGACCGCGTGCTTGCGTCCGCCGCCTCTGACCGCGTGCTGTGCCCTCGTGTCCGCCGCCCCTGATCGTGTGCTGTGCCCTCGTGTCCCCAACAAAAAGACATATATGCAAATTAGCATCCCCACGGAAAAAAGTCCTGTCCAGTGGGGCCGCATATAGTATGTGTACCAAAGGCAAAAAAGGTTACAGAATCGTATATAATCCTATACCAAACAAATGTTTCCTCATAAACAGATGCAACACAAATAGGCTGATTTACTAAATGAGTAAAGATTGAAGATTCACTTCAATTGTCCAATCAATGAAAGACACGTGTTTTATTTTATCTGCACAGGATTGAATACGTAAAGTAAATCTCTTCTTCAGTGAACATTCTCAACTGTAGTAAATCAGCATCAATCTGCCTTCAACCAGAAAGTTGACTCAACTGAATGTATGAAAGAGCTGAATGTTAACCACTTGCCCCTGGAAGATTTATCCCCTTTAATGACCAGGCCAATTTTGCTATTTGGCACTGCAGTATTTCAACGGGTAATTGCACAGTCATGCAATGCTGTACCCAAACTAAATTTATGGCCTTTTTTTTTTACACACAAATAGAGCTTTTTTATGGTGGTATTGGATCACCAATGTTTTTTTTTCTTTGTGATATAAACGAAAAAAGACTGAAAATGTAAAAAAATTTTTTACTTTTGGTTATAAAAATTATCCAGTAAACTCAAAGTTAGTCATAAATTTAGACCAGAATGTATTCCGCTACATGTCTAGTAAGAAAAAAATCCCAATACAGGTATATTAACTGGTTTGTGTGAAAGTTATAGCATCTATAAACTATGGTATGTGTGCGCACACACACTCTCTCACTCTCAATAATACCAGTGTGGTGAATAAAGCTCAAAATCCTTCTAATAGCTTTTATTTCCATACACACAAATGCATTGGGAACACTACACATTCTATTCCAAATCAAAACATGAAGAAAACGCAGTTATTTACCTGTTAACTGTATTTCCAGGAATCTTCTAGGGCAGCTTTACTTGAGAGATAGGGCTCCTCCCAGGAAACACCCGCTCTACCTTTTTCCCCTTTATAAGTATCCTCTCTCCCAGGGGACCCTCAGTATAAGAATATGACCGAAGGCTTAGGAGAAAGCATTAAAAAAAACGGTAATAGAGACAACCCATCACAGGTTTATAACATGCCTGGACATCAGTACATAATCACACAGTAATCGGGAGTTACGCTGTCCTAGAAGATTCCTGGAAATACAGTTAACAGGTAAATAACTGCGTTTTCCCAAGTCATCTTCTAGGACAGCTTCACTTGAGAGGAGTTGAATAGAAATACATACACTAGGGTGGGCCTCTTGCTTGTAGGACCTTCCTGCCGAATGCCTGGTCCTTGCTGCCAATCAGATCCAATCTGTAGTGCTTAGCGAAGGTGGCGAAACTGGACCACGTTGCGGCTCTGCAGATCTGTCCGGGGGAGGCCCCCACCTTTTCCGCCCAGGAGGCTGTGGTTGCCCTGGTCGAGTGTGCTTTTAGGCCGGGCGGTGGTGACAGGGCCGCCGTTCTATAACCTTCTGAGATTGCCTCTCTTATCCACCTTGCGATGGTGCCTTTGGAGGTGCTGTCCCCCTTTTTTGGACCCTGGAATAGGATGAAAAGACGGGACGAACGCCTCCATGTTTTTGTGCGCTTGATGTATGCAATCAAACATCTCACATCGATTTTGCTGTAGTCCCCCTGTTCTGTGCCGCCTGGGTTGCCATTAACCTCCCTGGCGGTATGATCATGTCAGGAATTTTGTGCTGAAAGCGGTACCATTTTTTTGCATGGAAATATGTAGTTTTTAATTGTAGGCTGTAATTTTTAGGAATAACTCACTGAAATCTATCCGAAAAAGAGTCTATTAAACATTCCGATATGATAAAACTTGAAACACGAAATCATAAATTATAATTTAATAAATAATCATAAAAAAATAATAATATAATAATAATAAATTTAATTCAATAATATAATCAAACCAAAAACACTGAAATTTGAAATACAGAGGCAAATTCGCACATCGCTGAGCAAAGTCGCAAAATCGTTTTCAGTGTCTGATGACGAATTTCCCCACAAATCATTATCACTCAATTCTGCAAGTGGTTCTGATTTACTATCGCTGTTCTAAAACCGCTTTTGATGTAAAGGGACGCTTTTTGGCCGCCATGGACTTTTCTAAGTTTCCAGGCAGAAAGAACAGTCAAAATGCAGGCAGGGCACAGGACAAAGCAGTGGGGACAAAATGTATGTGAAATGCAGTGAAAAAGCAATGACAGCAAAAATGTCATTTTTTTAAAAATTTCAAATTTCCCGCCGGTTCCGCCCGCCCGAACGTTCCGACGTCACGGGGACCGGAACACGGAAGTCAGATGCCGGCATCCGCCGGAGGAGATGGACGGGGACGCTGCAGGGGACACATCGTGGGAGCGAAGGACAAGGTAAGTGCTGCAGGGACCCCCAGAGAACGCTGCATAGTAAGCCCGAGTGTAGCTCGGGGTTACCGTTCTTGATATAGAAATTCTACCCCGAGCTACACTCGGGAAAACCGCCAAGGAGGTTAAGGGAAGGTATTATTATTTCCTGTGACCTATGAAAATGTGACGCGACCTTAGGTAGAAATGCCGAATCTGTGCGGAGGATGATTCTGTCCAACATGATCGTGCAGTATGGTTCGATTACTGATAGAGCTTGCAATTCGCTGACTCTGCGGGCGGAAACTAATGCTATAAGGAGGGTGGTTTTAAGAGTTAGAAATCTGAGAGAACATTCCTCCAGTGGCTCAAAAGGTTCTTGCTGAAAACTCTTCAGGACTGTGCCCAGGTCCCATATGGGGTATTTCGATGTGGACGGGGCTCGGCGCCTAGAGATAGCCTTCAGGAACCTGATTATCAACGGGTCTGCCGCCAACCTCAACTCCAGAAAGTTTGACAGAGCCGCTACCTGCACTTTAAGGGTATTGGCAGCCAGGTTCTTATCCGCCCCGGCTTGGAGGAATTCAAGCACTGTATGCAAGATGGGGCCCCCGGTGCCTCATTCCTGTCCTTCCAGGAGGAAAATTTCTTCCAGACTTTATCATATATGGCGTTTTTTCGATTTCTTCCTTCCATCCAAGATGGTGGCGACCACTCTTTCTGACAGCCCCTTCTCCGCTAGCCTGTCCCGTTCAGAAACCACGCTGCTAAGGACAGCCTTTCTGGGTGAGGATGTAGCACTCCCCCTTGCGCGAGTAAATCGTGTGAGGGTGGTATCATCCATGGGTCTGTTAAGCTTAGTTCCCTCAACCGGGAGAACCATGATCTTTTGGGCCAAAATGGCGCAATCAGGATGACCATGGCTTGAGATGACTGGCTCTTCTGTACCACCTTGGTAACAATCTGAACGGAGGAAAGGCATAGAGGAGGTTTCCTTCCCAATGCTGGGATAGCGCATCTATCCCTGCTCTCCTGGGGTCCTTCTGCAGGCAGAAGTACCTCTCTAGTTTCGTGTTTTGGCTGTTGGCGAAGAGATCCGTAGAGGGAGTGCCCCATCTGGCGCATATTTGATTGAAT